GGCCGAGGGGTTAACCGACAACGATCTTGTTCTAGAACAGTATCTATCCCCAGCCCACCATGCTGCGGCAGGATTTCGTCTTGATGGTTTCAGTGCAATCAAGCTTTGAGTTACCCATCACCTTCTTCCGATGTAAATATATGGGATATGCCATCAAACATTTTGGAAGATAGACTCATATCTCCAGTTGTATTATATTTACAGGTATCTGCTCTCCAGGTATTATATGGTTTATCACGCTGCTAAATTGTTACTCCCTCTTTAGCACCGTATATCTGGTGAATTGATTTATGATGTGGACTGTAAGGGGTAGAAATCACTACGGATCTCATCCCTCCACTTGAAGGATTCCGGCTGGCCTGGCGGCACCGAGCCCCAGTAGCCTTTACCTCTCTTCGCCAATAGGACCCTTTCCTAAGGCAATCCCACATCGGAAGAGAGTCGTCTTCCCCCCTGCCATATAAGTGAACACTTCCTATGGAGGAGGTACCCACTAGCGACCTAATATCCTAAGCAGGGAAAACGGCTAGGGCAATGATGAAGCAGTTGGGGTTGTTGTAAAAACCCTTCGTCTCCTTACAACGCGTGTCCTCGGTGTTAGAAGATCGAAGGCTGGGGGCAGTTGATGGGACATTTCCGGAATACTCCAAGATGAAGACACGTGTCCTCGATGTCACTGATCCTTGTTTATCGAATATCACGTACCCATCGGGGTCACAAGTCCCCTCTACCCCGAGGTACTTATCATGGATTGAGTGGCATCCAGTACGTTTTTATATACCGACACGTACCCTCGGTCTGATATGGTACATCGGTCGCTAGGCCTCCCCCCTCTCGGATTCAAGATGTACCGTTTCCTCGGTACCGAGATGTACCCCCTCTCATCCATGATGAAGTTCTCAACTCCAGCAGAGGTTATTGATGTACTGGTCACTAGCCTAGGCTAGGCTAGGCTAGGTTAGCTACTATGACCTCGTCTTACACAATTGGTGTCAGAAGGCATAGGAAGGCAGGGGCCACAGCCAATGAGGAATGGACGCGTGGCATATTGTGTCACATCAGAGACAGAAAGACCGCATGACCTTGCTGACACGCGACTTGGGAAAACAAGCATTTAATTACACCATTCCCTTGATGAGACTGCATTCAATGCGGTAAGGCTCAGAAGTGAAAGGCAATAAATGTCTCTAAGACTGGGCATTTATTGCATCTCTCCCCGAGAGGAGCTCATTGAACCGTCGGCAGGCCGATGACACAGACTTGATTGTTCAGGGTCCCGAGTAGTTAAGAGAGAAGACATTTCTCATAGGAATCAGTGCGCACGTTGCCTGTATCTAATGATCACCTACTGACCACACTGACAACAATCATGAGTATTTGAGGTATAAATACTCCTCACTAAAGGCAAGAACAGGAGGTGAAACTTTTGCTACAAATTATACTCAGTGTTTTCTCCTTCCTCTCTCTCAAAAACTGACTTGATCGTCGGAGGGGATACGCCGGAAAATACTCCGGCTCCCTTCTACCTTGTTCTTCTTTGTTCCAGGAACTTTTTTCAGCCTTACTGGATCGTTCCTTTGATCCGCGAGGGTCTCCCATTACCGTTCCAGGTTACCACCGGATCTCACAGGCTGTTCCAAGCAGCGTGGTTGACCACTCAACTGACTCACTCGAGTTCACCAAGGGAGAGATCTGTTCTCGTTTTTATATTGTGCAAGATCTAGCACGCACATGAACTTTTTTTTCCCTCCAAGTAATGAAACATCTATTTGCTGGGAATATGTGCAATGGTATTTTCTCCTATTGATGTGGCTTTTTTTCTCATAGTAGTATAACATCTTATGTGCTGGGAAACTTTACATTGCTACAACTGGTTTTGTCAAATGGCAAAATTTCATTTAGCTAACATGCAGTAGTTGGATGCATGTCCAAGTCATGGATAACACTTATATGACCTGTGAGATTGCGCAGATCGATGTCTGGTTAAACCCTAAATGGACATTGGGAAGGGGAGAAACGGGGGGTAGGTATTTTGCATAAACTTGTGAAGAATGGATATAGATATGAGAAATGGGTACGATACGATATGAATACAAGATATGAAAAAATTTAGAAAAATAAGATATAGGTACAATCAGGATACGTCTTATATTTTTACTATTGTCTAACAACTTTAAAAATTGCAAGTTTTAGTAGTTTTTTTAACAATAGTAAGCAGAATTAGTAATTTTTACCTTGAAAAAAGTGTAATATTGTCTCATTATGATATATCATCATGTGAATGTGACCCATTAAAATAATCAGAACTAACTAGTTGGTTTGCGTACAAGTATTTGTTTTTAAGATTGTAGTGTAACTAATTTTTTATACTCTTTTGACATGTGATAGTAGATAATACTTAAATAATACTCGTGTCTTCAAAGTCGAATGAAATTTGTTAATGTTTTGTATTGCATGAGAACTCAGAAAGAGATGATATAAATTAAAATTAAAAATTACAAATCTTGCTCCATATGTAGAAATATTCGCGAAGTATCAACATATTTTACTAATTAGTAGATACGTATAAAGTCTATCCAATACATATCACCAAGTATCCAACGAATATTGTATTTGATGCGGGCGCCCCAACCTTGACGAAGTATCCGTGTTTCATAGGCAGACACGATTACCAATTAAGAATTTTAATGACCTAGTTCATTCAATAATCATAAATCATATTCCAAATAGTCAAATGAGATTGTTCAATGCAAATATACTGATCTAGTGTGTTTGAAGATCTAAAAGCAAATAATCATACATAACTAAGGCATAAAATTTTGAACGTGGAAACCCTTGGGAGAAAAACCATGGGATCTAGTCGAGCCTAACTTTGTAGTATTGAAAATTTGAAATTGGCAATACAAACTCATGTACTAACAACCCCTTGTTAGGTATCCTCTTGTCTTGTGCTCCTCTCAACAAACTCACTGTTATAGTTCAACTCACAGATCATTGGCTCCTCCGACAAAGGTTAGGTCACACTCCTCCTGGAATGCTGCTAGCATGTCCTCCTTGAATCTTGATCTTTCTCGGATCTTCATGACTTTCTTTGGATTTGAATTAATTTGAGAAAACTTGTAATGGCTCCTAGGGTTTTTGAATTGAAAGATCTCTTCAAAACCTTTGTTTTTCTCTATGAAAAACATCTAGAAATTCATTTTTATATAAAAAACCTATTTAACAGAGTTGAGGAAGTTATCCTAATTCAAACAGGATTCTTATACACCACAGTCGCTCGAGTGCGCAATCTCTCACTTTAGCGCGCTTGGGCTCATTCGGGCTTCAAGCAAGCCAAAGGCAAGTGCGAGTTACAATTGTTTATTAGAACTTGTATCAACTTTTTGGCTCGAGCAAGAAGCCTATGCTAGGTGAGCCCTAGCTATTGGAAACCATCCGAAACTAATCCAATTGACCTCAAACAATGCTTAGGTTTTGCTTGAATGTTGTCTATACTTGGATCGTATTTTACACTTAAAAATCAAGTTTTTGATACCAAAAATGTAAGACTAAGTATACATCATGTAAATCAAGTCTCGACAATATTTTTCAAATAATTTCAAAGCTTACTAAGGTATCTAAGTTCACTTATGAGTCCTAACTGGAGTGTGAATGCCATGAGATTAACTTGATCATCTTCTTGAATCTTCAATCCAATCTTCAAGTAAGCTTTATCTCATCCAGCTTGAATATATTCAATCTTCAATGCAATAATCAAAATTCCTCAACCAACCTCAACTAATTTGATCCATGTGACTCACAGAAATATGCCAGTTTCGAACAATACATTATGCCATGGTATGAGATCAAATATGCGGAACTTGACCTAGCTATGACACATTAAATGAGTGTTTGCTTTGTGGTGGTGGTGTATCTTTTACATCTTTATAAACTCTTCTAGGTTTGTAACTGGCAAGCTGCTTCTTTAGTTCCGGTTTATAGTTCTGAATGTCCTTGAAGTGTTGAGGATGTTGGCATCTAAATCATGTAAGTAGGATAAGGAGGCAGTCTTTCACTTGCTAGGGGGCTTAAATTAATCTCTTACTTTCTTATCTTCTTTCTTCTTCCCCTTCTCGTCTCAAGATTCCTAGTGTATCGTCCATGTTGCCAGATTGAGGTCTTCATGTTGTTAGTAGTTTTGATGAATCTTCACAACTCAAGCTTGCAGAATCCTTGCTCTCTGAAACAACATTAGCATCATCAGTTCGTAATCCATAGTGAATGCTTGCCATATTCGGAAGAACGTGCTAAATATGGCTTCTCCTTATTGGCTCAAGTTTTTTTATACTAACAAATCAAAATTGAAGTGTTTTGGATTAAGTCTCTTAATTATGATTGCTTAATATACTATTTAATGACGTGATAACTTACCAGTTCTAAAGTCATCTTCACATTACCTAACAAAATTCTTGTGACTATTCGCATGAAGGACATAATTTATTTTAAAATTAATAACCATATGCTTAAGCCATCATCTGCTGAGTTCTAGGGGGGTAGTGATTAGAATTATACCACATGCCCTAAATACTGAGGTGGTCCTCGGCCTAGTTCCCCAATATAGAGTTGTTTAGTTGCCATACTACACCTTTGTGCATACCTGTCTTAGATTTTGGCAAATGTTTTATTTGGCCAACTTTAGTCTTGTCACACGGCTCTCAAAATCTAGAATGTAAGTGTTTTTGAAGATTGCTAACCTAAAAATGGAAGAGCATGCTTTGAACCCTAGATGTTGGCGGTCACCCTATTTTGGGGCATGTTGGAATTGGGAGCTGAGAGCCTGTGCAACTCCCTGTAAAACAGCCACTGGTGTTCAAGGTCTTGATGTTTATATTAACTTTGTGTCTTTGTCTTTTTTGTGCAAGCATTTCGTGTACAAACTCCCAAGCTATTGTTGAAAGCTAGGGTTTGTGAAGAGTACATCATCGGTTAGTGCAACAGTAGAAGTTTGGGCTGTAAAGTGGGTATGTAGAAATAAGTCTAAGGCAGCTATTTTTTGCTAGTAGAGGCATAAGTTGGTTTTATGCACTACCCAGTCCTTCCGAGAACCTATATAAGATGGGATCAGCCCTCATATACTTTGAATGCCTTTATCCGTTATGCTTGCTTTTTTCTTGGATGGGCCTAGTTTTGGAACAAGAAATTTAGTTGTTACTCCTTTAATACTGGGAAAAAATGTCTTAGTGAAAACGTAGTATGGCATTTCAACATTTAATGAGAACGTTTTATGATTTATTAACAGGAACCTAACAACATGTTCACTGTTGCGGAGTATCGGTTACCAGAAGTGAAGGCTGAAATAGCCATGTACTTCGATTTCCCTAGGCAGATAAACTCTCGCCGAATCTCATTTAGACTTCTTGGAGATGATGTTGCATTTGCAGATGACCCAACCGAACAAGAGGATTCAGATTTTTTTAGAGCTCGACCACTAGCAACAGGTTTGTCTTTGTCAAATAGATTCAAGTTGTATTATTATGCTGATCCTTAGGAACTTGGAAAATGGGCCAGCCTTTCGGCTGTTTGATTGGTTTGTACAGATGAAAGGAGTGGGAAATTGGATGTGATTGGCTTTGTAGATGAACTTATTTTTGTTTGTTGTAGTTTTGAGATGTGTAATAGTTATCATTCATTCATTATTGTAATAATAGTGGTGATAAATTAAAATGGCTTGTATAAATGAGTGCACGATCAGTTTGATGAGATTATCAGCAACTAGTGTTAGATGTTCGTATTTCTGCTTTGAACTTATTAGTGGAGTTGTATTAGGATACTCTCTGAATGCTCAATGAAGCATCTCTTATTTGGCTAACTGCAAGCATTGACCCAGGCCTTACCACGCAACAGATTCATAGTTATTTGACGCCCTGTATGGGTCTCTTTGAGATTTTCTACCAGTTGTGACTTAACCAAGTCAAGTTACAATTTTTCGACAGACCACGTAACAATTCAATGGGGCCGTTAGGATCAAAAAAAGGGGGGGGGGGGGGGGGGACCGATGCTTGGTTTTTATTGTTGATTATAATCTTTTTGGACTTTACTGAGATGTAATTTTACTTTATAGGGTCGTAATTTGTGTAATTTTTTTTAGTACAATACCAAGTTGGTAATGCAGATTCTTCTCTCTCTCTCTCTCTCTCTCAAAATTATGTATGGATTTTGTGGCTTCCTTGTGGTTCATGAGTTCGTCCATCAATTTTAAACATGTTCACCATGGGTCCTTTAAAATTGCAAACTATAAGTAACTAAGATATATGTACCTTAAAAAAGAAAAAGAAAAAGGGAGAATTATATATATATATATATAAATTAAATTTCAAAATTTGAGGAAATTATGAAAATGCGACTACATGGAAATTTTTTCCAAGCTACTGCTTGGTTGTAGCAGAGCCTTCCTCATCTTTCTCCAAGGCTCCAGAAGAGTTGAGTATATTTTGAACTCTTCGTCCTTGGCCTTGGAGTTGATTAAAAAGGTTTGTACAGAGCGGAACATAAGAGAGAAGGGGGAATAACAAAACTTTGGGAGAGGCTAATTTGAGCTACAAGGGGTATATTTCTTACCTAATTAGGACCTTAGGAGTTCATTTTTGGTGTTTAAATAGAGTTTTATATACTGAATAAGCATGAATTCATGTTTTGAATTTTTGGGTTTTCATGGGTTTTGAAACGAGTTTGATTTTCTGTCGAGTTTTGTTTTGATTCTTAGTTTATAAATAATTTTTGAGAGTTTTTTATGAAGATTGATGGTGATTTGATGGGTGGCCGTGATCTGTAGAAGTGGTGTGAGGGTGGTGTAGTAGATAGCTAGAGTTTGGAGTTCTTGAAAATTAAAGCTTTGATTCTTGAGCTTTTAAAGCATCAGGAGTATTGTTCTAGACTAAAAACAACCCTAGGAATCTATTGGTGACCATAGAAATTAATTTAGAGTTCGTTTGGGCGGTGAAAAAGGCAGTTCCATGTCTGTCCATGAGTTGTAAAATCTTATTTTCTTCAAACTTTGTTTCAATTTTAGGATAGGTTAGAGTTTGATTCGAAGGGTCTCACCTATGGGGATCTGAAGAGGGTCATGTGGTGAGTGTTTGGGTTATAAAAAAGGGAAAAAGAAGTATTGTGGAGTATGGAATAAGGGTGAGAAGAAAAGTACTTGAAACAGAATTTAGATACTTACAGTTTGTTAGAGGTTGAAAATGACGTGGATCGGAGGACCACTAGACATCCCAACGGCGCATCCAATGTCCAATGGTGCTCTGGTTAGTGGCGTTGGAACCCTAACAGGTAGGGAAAGGTCTGGGTAAAATTTTAGAGCAATCTGACATCGTTTGCCAAAGGTGTTGTGAAATGTTTATTTTGCCTTTCGGGGTGGAGTGCGAAATTGGGGTGAGAAGAAAGGTAGTTGAAACATAACTCAGATACTTACAGTTTGTTGGAGGTTGAAAATGAAGTGGACCGGAGGATCACTAGACATCCCAAAGGCACGCTCGATGTCCAATGGTGCTCTAGTTAGTGGTGTTGGAACCTTAACAGGCAAAGGAAGGTCTGGGTAAAATTTTAGAACAATTCGACATCGTTTGCCATAGGTGTTGTGAAATGTTTATTTTGCCCTTCAGGGGGCGATTTGACCTAATTTTTGGGTGAATTTTATCAAATATATATATATATATATATATATATTCAATCTTAGGTAGGTTAATTGAATGTGTATGAAATTTCATCGAAAATAACATCTTTTTATTTTTGGCAATTTCGAATCGAAAAGCAATGCAATGTAGGGTTTCTTCAAAACAGATGCAACATTTCAAATTTCATTTATAAATTATTACTTACATGATTTATGAATGTTTAACATGTTTTAAATCATTTGATTGGGTTGTTGAACTTGGACTAGAAATTACAGATTAGAATTAGGGTTATGAGTGCAGTAATGCACAGCCGCTTGAAATGATTAATTTGATTGTATGAAATGAGATACCATAATTCTTTTAAACTAAATGTAAGTGCAAACAGGTCGAGTGACAGAGGGTTTATGTTCTAGTTTGAGACTGTAGAGGGTACTTATTGAGTTTATAAACACCTGGGTGGCCTAGTTAGTCTTCGGACTTGGGTGTTGAACTTTGACTTGGGAGCATATCTTCTCGAGATGCAAGTCCCTCAAAAGGTTGGATCGTATGCTCGTATGGACCCTAAGTGATCTATTGGGATGAATGCCCACCTGTGTAGCACTGTATAGGATATTTCTAAACTTTCTTTTACTGTTTAGTTTTTTTTTATCTAAATGACTTTGTTTACATGAAATGATCTTGTTTACCTTTTGCCTAATCATGCGAAAATATGTTATTTTCAAACTCATTTGATTGGAAATTGAGTTACTCTACTGAATTGTTGATGCTCAACCTACATTATTTTCCCCTTTTAAGATGTGTGAAAGCGGGAAGATTTATACATAGTGAACTTCTAGGGAACTTGTATAGTTTAGGGGGTGTAACTGAAGCATGTAATTAGAATAAAAGAAAAACCTTATGTGTAACATGTACTTTTCTGATCAGTGGTTGTGAAATAATTTGGGTAGAATACGTATGTTATGTAGTTGCTTATACATAAATCTTTAATTTTTATGCTGTCAGTTGTTTTGCTATACTAAATTGTTACTCTTGTATGCTATTATAATGTTTCGTGGATCACAATAACATCTGTCACATGGCTGGGTTGAGCCGGGGTTTGACTTAGTCTCAAAGCATAGATTTGAGATTCTGTAGACTGCCTTAGGTTTAGCTACTTAGGATGATGACTTGTGGGTATTGGTGAATTGATTCGTGATGAACATAAGGTTTATCATATCAAAGATATTACTTCTAGTGACTTACCTATCTGTTGGTGGATTAACTTTGATTTTATAGGAAATGAGTTTCAGGGATGATTTGTGCGCGAGCTATTTTGATTGAGGTCATACCAACACGATTAGTATTTTATAAGAGTTGCACAACGGTATCACAGTGTAACAATCGAGTGGAAATCAAGTGAACGTAATTAAAGGGGTGTGTAGTTATGATGAAGGTGAATCGAGATACTTAGCGGTACGTGGTAAATATTTTATTTTCGGGAACTATTATGTAAAATTAACATGTCTTACTAGGATATAGATGTGAATTGGAGTTAAATTTCAAGGACGAAATTTCTTTTAAGGTGGGTAAATTGTAATAATTTGTATTCAAAAATTAGAAATCAGATTAGAATTTGGGTGTGTGTGGTTACGGGTTTGGATATTAGAGAACCGAACTGTGGTTAAGGAATTACTAGAAGGTGTGTGGGGTGTTTTAATGTTAATTGATATGTTTAAATAGGGTAGGAAATTGATTTGTGAGATGAGAGGAATCCGGAGTGTAGATCTAGTATGTTATGTGAAAAATTCAGAGATTAAATTGAACATTAATTTTAATTCTAAAAATTAAATTTCAAATTTTGAGGGAATTATGAAATTGCAACTGCTTGACAATTCTTTCCAAGCTGCAGTAAAGGCTTCCCCGTCCTTCTCCAAGCCTCCAGAAGAGTTGAGTATGTCTTGAACTCTTCATCCTTAGCCCTGGAGTTGACTCAAATGGTTTGTAGAGAGAGAAAAATAGAAGAGAGAAGTTAGAGAGAGAGGGGTGAAGAACAAACCTTCAAGAGATACTACGTCATTATTAACATGTGGTATTATCAACCAATATAAAATGTTACGTACAATTGATGAACTCCAATGTTCCAATATGACAATTATTCTATATTATAGTTATTGAAAGTTATTAAAATAGTAAAATTTTATAATTATGGTATTAATATAATTGATTGGTTATACTAAGTGTCATTAATGACGTAATATCATTGTTTAGCGTATTTTTGGATTGCTGTGGGCGTGCCAAAGTCCTATTGGACTTAAAATTTAAACACATAGGACCTTACCTACATGAACCGGTGTGAGATTTTAAAACCGTGACTGTTTAGGCAATTGTAGCGAGGCATAAGGCTACCTCTGAATTCTTTTCTATGCCTTATAGTGCAAGGATTTTAAATAATTTTCCAAATAAAAATGTAATAGGCAACACCATAAAGAGAACAATAAGAATGAAAAGTAGCAAATAAATGGAATCTAAATCTAAAAAAAATGAAATGAATACTGTACTTAACATTAAATGAAAGTAATAGAGGATCACTAGAGTGATGATTACAAGGAAAGTAAAATTGCCCGAGCGCAAGAAATAAGTATAAGGTAGGCTGTCTCTGTGAAGAGTTTGTGCGTTTGATCATGGATCCTTTCTTAGTGGTTTAGTCTCTGCTATTTATAGAGATGTCCTTCAACTATCCACCCATCTTTTTCAGTCATTACTACATCATGGCCTTGTCCCTCGAGATACATGGATGTGCAATGAACCGTCTTCAACTGGCGGCTCATGATGCCATGTTTTTGTCATTTCTCAAAATTCTAAGAGTCATACTCTTCTAACTATTCTGTCAATT